AATTTTTTCTCTTTCTAACTACTCTGTATCCCTCGCTTGCACTCACGCACACACACACACGCATACACACACACACACACACACACACACCACTGTTCTTGATCTTTTATTAGTCTCCATTCCTTTGCAGAATAAGTTTGGTAGCTATTATTGTTATTATTATTATTATTATTATTATTATTATTATTATTATTATTTTGACATTTCTCTTAACCAAATTGGCACGTTTCATTTGTTCGACCATAAAAAGCATAAGAAGCATAATGACACGTATTTGAAAATGGAAAACTGAATATGGAAATCACCCAGAAACAATTTTCACTAAAGCACGAAAAACTCATATTGTTACAATATTCAAGTTAATGTAATACACATTACAAATTAAGAAGGTCGCTAATCAATATAGCGATGCATCACACGTGCACGCAAAAACACACACACACACACACACACACACACACACAAACAGCAACGATAGCGTTTTTGCGAGCAAGAAATTTTGCGCCAAAGCCCTCGGCGCCCTCCCTCCCTTCCCACTTGGTCACGCCGCGCCACGCCGTGCCGCGAGCTCAACTCCCGGCGGGTTTTGTTAACGCGCCGCTCGCGACCACGCCTCCGCTCTAGAACGGCGAGCGGTGAGCGCTCTCCAACGGCGGCGGCGAGCGCGCGGCAGATGTTTTTCGTGCGTTCCATGCGCACGCTAGTTGCGGACGTATTTAAACGTCTCCCGGAGGAAAATCTAAGCTGATGTTTGTCTTAGTGCTCCTATGGGAGCAGATATCCGAATCACGTGGTCGTCAGTTTGTTTGGTTCCAAACTTAACGCTTTGAGGGTAAAACTTTTATTCGAGTAGGTACACATATTGCGATAAATGGTGAAAACAGTTGGTAGATTTGTACGATTGGTAGCTTTGTACGACGCGCCAAGAGACACCGCGATGCACTTATTTGGCTTTTAAACCTAATGTTTGCAACACTATATGCAATATTATTTAATTTGTGTCGCAGATATGACTGAATACAGTAATTAAGTACATCTGAAACTTTAGCAAACAATGCACATAAAGACACAAAAATGTAATGTTCAACAATAATTTTCATACAATATCTTTGAATCTTTTATTAACGAAATATGACAGAAATAATTCATAGATGAAAGTTACAAGGTCAAGTTCCAATTTTAATTAGGGTAAGCCAGTAGTTGTTTCAAAATCATATATCTTAATCATATATACATTACATTGTTATGCTTCATTCGATTATGAATTTAGATGTATTATGGTGAGAATGTTGAGAAATAAGAATGAAATTGGGAGAGCATAGTAGTTTACTAATTTTTTATGTAAGAAAAAATAGACGACTACACAAGCAGAAACCTTTCCGCGCCTTTGTCAATAAAGTTTTTTGATCAAGTAGGTTTGATATAATTTGTTAATTAAAAACAAAATAATGTGAAAAAAATACATTTGTGAAAGAGCATTTTTTTCTAAAAATTAGTATTCACATATTACTAACCAACGCCTTTGAAATGAACTTCAATAAAATGTGATGAGAAAATTCCAAGATTTTACGGAGATCCCTGTCGAGTGCTTGAAAATGATAAAATGCCGTTTAAAATTATTAGCTTGAATAAGATTGTAGAACTACTTTATAATAAGTAGCATAAAAGATAACTAATAAGTGTTATGAAACGGTAGGGTTTGCAATATAGTGCAAATGTGGAAAAGGATACTTTTATGACGTCGCGATCCTCACATTTACCAACTTTGCCTTCTTTACGAAAAATGTGAACATTGTCTGAACCGTTACTAATAAACCGCCAAAAACTCGAGTTCCTATTTATAAAGTAAAAATTCGATGCGTGACTTATTTCGACGTAATCCTTATATAGTGTTTGAGTAACTGCGAATGCGCGTGTTTCGTTCGTCCTGGTCCGTCACTCATGGCACTTTCCGTCCACTAATCGAGATATATGATGGGTCATTTGACGTGTCTCAGTCTCCTGGTCAATTGATCATTTGTTTTCGGATCCGGCCAGAATATTCTAGGAAATTTCTAAAAAATTTTTTTGGTCTGTTTCGGCGCTGTGCTTAGAGGAAAGATCGGTAATTAAACCATCGCCACCTAAGTAGATCTATGTAGATAGAGTTGATTAAACCTCTGTACCCAGAGACCATTTTCGCTCCACGACACCATTAGTGAGTTAAACAAGTGAATCCTGTGACAAATATAATTTCATTTTCATCCGTATTAGCGTATTTTTCAAATAAATTTGTAAAAACCTACGAGTACTTTTGCATTGAAACTTATTAAATTCGAAGACCTTGAAGTGAATACGTAGGAAACCAAACTCTGAGAAGTTGCCAGAAAATGAAAGGATACTTTCGATCTTTGTTCTACTTGTCAAATTTATTTACTTAATCGTGGAAATATCGATTTTCAAATGAATGTGATTAACAAATTATTATTATTAAACTTAACTAACACTTTATTCACATTAACAAACAAAACAGTCGACTTTTGATATAGATTCGCCTAAGCAGGTAAAATTACAATTACAAAAAGTAGAAGAAAACACAAATTGGACTGAGTTTGTAAAGTTTTAATCTCTTCAAAAAATGAAGGGGTGAAAATATGGAAGTGTTAAGCAAATCTGGGGATGAATCAAATGTAGTTCTAGAAAATTTTTTCTCAGAATATTCGGAACATAAGGAGAATTGCGCTGAAAAAGCGTTTACAGGTCATCTTTTATGTGCACTTTTGTGTATATTAGCAAAAAGCGTAACAAAATGTAGCTGAACTAAATTCTAGCAATTCTAGCTATCCATTCCTGCAAGTACTACTTACGACGATTTCATTTCTAAAATTGCAATATTACCCGTTCATATCTCGTATGGTGGTTAGATTCAAGGCTATTGTGTGTTGGAATATTTTGAATGAGAATATAACATTATAAACAACTACAATTCATTGGCAAATTGATTGCCAGATACTGAAAGAACTTATCTGAACAACTCTAGGCTTGAAAGAAGTTTTTAATAATTGAAAATACTTTTAAAACAGCTTACAGTGTCGGCAACGCCTCATTTAACTAGTAGAAAAAAATATAATGTAACAATTACTCAGACTTCCGTAATTATGAACAGAAGTTCAAATGTTTTTTTTAAAAACTGGTGCTTATTATTATCGTCGTAGAAAATAGACACGTAAGTGTACTTCTCTTCATAATGAAAACAGTGTGCATGAAATAATAATACAATTATGTTTAGACAGCAATATAATTCTTACAGAAATCTTGCACAAGATAAGAGCTTTAAGTAAAAAAAATATATATTTAACGTGCTAGAAATACATGCCAAGGAACGGCATCGGAATTTCAATTTACTCTCATTTCTTATCTCTCTTTAGAGAACCGCATCTCACGAACAGTTTCAGAGAGAATAATTGACGTATTGAGCTCATTTAACAAGGTAGAAAGATACACCAGGTTTATCGACGTGGAATGTATATGGCTATAACGGATTATTTAATGGGGAATATTTAATTGAATATAGTGTAAAAGTTAACGAACATAGAATTGAAAGGTTTTAAAGGGGATATACTTTTTATTCAAAATTAAAATAAATCGAGAACCTTATTCTAGCTTCTGTTCGGCTTTAAGAAAAATGTTTTATGATAGGCAAACTATTGATTTTACAACACTCGGACATTTTTTGTAAGAACTCCCTGCGGATATCGCACAAATATTACAATTTCTCCTTTTATAGTACGACATTTGACCCACCGAACATCGTACAAAACTTCAATAAATAATAAACAAAATGGTGGCCTAATTTTGCGCATACATGTATATCGCATTTGCCATATTAAATATGTTTACACATAACAAATAACAATATCATACAATATTAAGACCATATAAATGAGAAGATAGATATCGACACTCCAGGTCACCGATTGTGAAGTTCGCAGGTATGCTAGAATCGTTGAGTAACAAAAATACAAGTAATAATATAAATAAAAAGTCAGCTTCCATTTCTGTCGTTAAGCAAAGAAGACAATTTTCATAACTTAGACACTATAAATCCTGAAAAGCAAGGATTCAGACACGGGATTGAGCTGCAGGAATGCGACGTTGCCGCTGTCATCCCACGTCGCAATGTGATGTGGCAGTGGGGTAGAGTAGTGGAGGAGTGGGACAGAACTGTGACAGAGAAGAGGTGAAAGACAAGAGACAAGAGGGGAGGGGTGAGGGGTAAGAGACAAGAGGGGAGGGGTGAGGGGTAAGAACCAAAGGGAGTGAGGGTAAGAGAAAAGAGAGTGAGGAAGAGAACAAAGGGGAGGGTGAGCGAGTAAGAGACAAGAGGGAGGGTGAGGTGTAATGAACAAGAGGGAGGGGAGGACAGGGAGGGTGAGTAGACAGAGGAAGGGTAAGGACAGGGGGGTGAGGGGTAGAACAGGGGAGGTAGAGACAAGGGAGGGACTGGAGAACAAGAGGAGGGACGGGAAGACAAGAGGGGAGGGGACGGGGAGAGCAAGACGAGGGAGGGAGACGGCAGAGGGAGGGACGGGAAAGAAGAGGACGGGAGAGAGAAGAGGAGACGGAGAAGAAGGAAGAGGGAGAGAAGAGGGAATGGAGAAGAAGAGGAATGGAGAGAGAATGAGAATGAAGAGAGATGATGAGGAAGAGGAATTGCAGAAGAAGAGGGAATGCAGAGAGAACAGGAATGAGAGGAAGATGTAATCAAGAGAAGAGGGGAATGGAGAGAGAAGAAGGAATGGAGAGAAAGAATGGGTCGAAGATAGGCAGAGGAGAAACCAGATGAGGAAAGGAATTTGGGGCAGGTGTAGTGAACATAGGAGTGAGGTGTGCGAATAGGACGTGGTTTGAGCGGCAGGTGAAATGAGAGGGCGTGGGCGCAAAAGCACGCGAACAACAATAGCGGGGGGCAATGGTTTGGCGGGGCGGGGGGGGAGCAGAGCGCGGGGGTGCGGACTCACGTCGAGCTCCGAGAGCAGGCGCTCCTTGTCAGCGGGGCTGCCGAGCGTCTTGCCCGCGGCCCAGCCCAGTGCGCCGAGCAGCAGCAGCAGCGCCAGGGAGGCGCGCGCGGCGGCGGCGGAGGCGCCGGCGGAGGAGGCGGCGGAGGCGGCCATCTGCAACCAACGCCACCGCACGCACCGCGTCAGAAACACACACAACACTCGCGGAGAACGCCATTTGAACGCATAAAAGAAACATATACTAAACATATGCTAATACGAAGAGAGGGAATATTCATCTCAGCAAACTATCTCATAAGAAACCTTTCATCGGTATTATTCTGTTTGCAAAGTATTTCTGCAGAAGAAAAATAGCTAGAAAAAATACCTAGCTAGTTTATTCTGCTAGAAAAAACCTATCTATATGGAATATTTTAAGAAATTAGACTTACATGACCAGTACTAAGGGGTTTTAGTTAATTTCCTACTTTTTATGTAAATAAAGTAGTTGTTTTAATGGTATTCGATTAGTAATTTGTATTTTACAAAACATAAGTAGCCAAAAAAAGGATTCATTGACATAAACGTTTTTTTTCATTTCTTCCATTGTAATTTTTATCTTTACATATCTTAGACATAACATTCTTCCCTCACCAATCTTTTGGAATCTTGACGCAGCAGAGAAAATCTTTTTGATTTTATAAAATGCAGAAAGAGAACCCAGGAACTTAATCTGAATAATCTGCATTGACACCTTTGATTGCAGCAATGCTCGCACTTGCTGCTCGATTTCCATACTTTCATTTTCTGCGACGAAATTTATAGATCTTTCAGAATCTGCATCTCGAAGGGCCTCTCCCTTGCCTGAAGATCCTTGACCTCTCGAAGTGCCTATTAATTGGACGATCGGCGTTTTTAAATGAGCTGGCGCTTTAGTCCAAGAAAAGATCGAGGTACCGAAGCCCCTGCCAGCAACCTAACATGAGAAGAGAGTCCTAAACAGAAGGAAAATTGCGAAATGAATAGAAGGTAGTAATAATGAATCGTATGGTCACAAGGAATGTGGCGGCGTGTACAACAAAATCAAAATTTTGCATTTCTGTGACGAGGTTTCTCATCAAACACCGGACAGTTTAATTCGCTTTTAGGAACGCAAACGTATGACAGAAGGTGAAATTAGGAGAGCAGTTGCGTGGGAGAGGCGATAACGTTCATCGAACGAGAGCATTAGATTGAAAGCGTCGCCTATGAATGATTTTTCACATGAGAGAGAAAAAAATGAGACGCCTTTTCCACCAGAAAAAGAGTAGAATGAGACAAGTTAGTAGACGACTTTTGCCAACAATTGGTACTTAGACGGCTGAAGGGTTGAACGAAACGAAGGTTGGGTTGAACGAAACGAAGGTTGGGTTGAACGAAACGAAGGCTTGGTTGAACGAAACGAAGGCTTGGTTGAACGAAACGAAGGCTTGGTTGAACGAAACGAAGGTTTGGTTGAACGAAACGAAGGTTTGGTTGAACGAAACGAAGGTTGGGTTGAACGAAACGAAGGTTGGGTTGAACGAAACGAAGGTTGGGTTGAACGAAACGAAGGTTGAGTTGAACGAAACGAAGGTTCAGTTGAACGAAACGAAGGCTTGGTTGAACGAAACGAAGGTTAGGTTGAACGAAACGAAGGTTGGGTTGAAAGGAAGATTGGTTAAACGGAAGATTGGTTGGCCAGACGTCGATTGCCCGGAAAGTTGTTCGACTGACAGATTGCTTGTCTAGACGGCAGGTAGATTCCGGTAGGACTCGTACCGTTTGGTTGTTTAGTCCGTAGATCCGCAGTCGCGATTAGCGGGCGACGGCGGAGGAAGCGCGGCCGCTCAGGCAAGAGAGAGCGAGTGGGTGAGTAAGCGGGCGAGTGGCCGCTCTTTGGGGGCGGCGTCCGCCATCCATTGTCACAATATTTGCGCGCGGAGGCGGCGCTGTGTGCGCAGCGCAATGAGCGCTCCTGGAAGCAAGCGGCTGCGGCGGAAGCTCTGCGCGGCCCTGCGCAAACGCCAGCCCCACGCAGGCACCGCGCTGCGCCGCGCTGCGCCGCGCAGCCCACGGCGCCGGCATTTCACTCGGGCGGCAATCGGGCGGCGAAGGAAAGCTATTCACTTCTGGCAAAGAGTGTCTGTTACAAGTCCCTTCCGATAACGTAACTTTCTTCTCTTTTTTTTTTGTTATTTAAGGTCGCATCAACTTCTAGGTCATTAGTGATCACTATTGCTTGTAACGGTATGGTAATTATGAGGCTGACAATAATTGATGATTATAGGGAGGGGGAAAGGACGAACACAATACAACCATTTCCGAGGCGGAATTCGAACCCGCGATCCTTCGGTCCGAGATCGCTACGGCACAAATGGCACTACGGCACAACTGCCTTTGCGATCTCGGCCACCGGATCGGCACACTCTTCTTTTGTCAGTTACTAAAAGACAAATGATTGAATATGTATGTATGTATTTATTTGGTATTTTAGGATCAGATTAATCCGACTTTTTCGGATGGGGCGCTGGCCTACTGGTTGGAGATACCTGGTTGGGGGAACCCCGCTAGCCGACGGTAGGTCTGCACCGGATATCGCCATCCAGTGGGAGAAAATCATTGCCACCTCTCGAGGAAAACAAATGCCCTTTTACGGGACTAAAATCCTGAGCAGTTGACGCTCCCGGGATCACTAACAACCATCCAGCCAACCAATCCGACGTTTGCCGGCTAGCGGGGCTCCCAAGGCCTGGGTCTTGTTTTTTTATTCATTACCCACGCATGAGGAATAAGGAGATATTTAAACGCGTGAGGGATAACAATGGTGTATCCTCATCACCGTATGACCATCATACATGGCCTGTCTGAGTTTTTCTTTTGTCACACAGCTGTAGAAACTGAGGAGATTGTTTTAAATAGCTGAAGTTATATTTTTTGCGGTAACCGAGAATCGATACGGGATAGCACCACGGAAAGCTAGCACGCTGTCTACGAGCTACCCAAGGGAGAAATTATTTAATAACTTTTTAACATTGGGAAAGGAGTTTTTTCATAAAGTTCTATCCCTTGAACACAACAAAGATTTTTGTGATTTCATTTCAATTACGTATGAAGTCACTAAACTGCACTTATTTAACATTAGTACTTTATTGCTCTAAAGTTACTAGATATTTAGAAATTGTTGCGCATATTACTGTAAGTTATCGAAATATATTCGAGGGAGACTTGTTTTTTTAATTTAATTAATAATGCATGAGAGCTCCACTGTCACGATTCGGTATACACTACTTTTTATCCGCAGTGTTTATTTGAGTCCGGGTGATGTATTAAGTGATATTTTGTAGGTATTTTAGTATTTTTAGCGTAGAGCATAAACGTGATAAAGACCAATATTTTAAGTTGTGTCTTCACGAATAAAATTCGTGCTGGTAACCTAAATATGAAAAATGACATTGAGAAATTGAGAAATCTCATTCTCGTATGTGAAGGAAGGCATATCAACCGTGTATATTGCGAAAAAATGTCAGGTTACCTTGCACACACCTGAGAAAATGTTGGGGAATCACTCGAAAACTTGGCAAATCTGTTGAACTGAAAATGTGATCAGGGAGATTTCCGCAATTCAATTATAATTTAAAGACTTTAAAATTTTAGTTATTGTGAATTCAACTTTATATTAATATTATGTATTATATGCATATTAATATTATGTATTATGTATATTAAATGTTACAAGTAACTTTTATAATAACAGGTACCTTTTATATCATATATGTAAGTATACATGTATTTAGCATTTCAGTGCTGAATTAATCCAACTTTTGCCTGCTAGCAATGTTCCCATGCCTGGCCCTTTTTTTTTTTATTTTTTATTCTCGCCCGGGGGTAAGGGAGACATGTGGCAAGCATTGTGCACTTAAATCACCGTACCTACTAGATCAATTGGCCTGCCTGAACTTTCTTCATTCACACCACTATATAAATTGAGACGATTTGTATTAGAAAGCTACAACTTCCTATTTATTTTGTCGGGAATCTAACACCTCATAGAAAGCTAAGCGCGCTGTTCATGAGCAGCCCAAGAGACTTATAATAAACTAATAATGGCGGACATTCTTGAAAACTGCCGGATTGTTCGCATGGTTCTAAATATGTAAATCTAGGAATGTAGTACGCCTAAAGGCCTCTCAAACCTGAACTCCGGATGACAAAACACGGAAAAAAAGAAAATATAACTTATTATATTTCAGGGCACAAAATCCTTAATTCATAAGCCTTTCGTCCGACAAGAAGTGGCCCGTCCCATGTTATTACATTCAAAAAACGACTTACAGCATAAAACACGCATACAAATAAAATCTGAATATGTTGTTAAAAATCAAACTGATACGAACCAAAAAAATGAAATATCTTGATGACCAAAATGCACTCAAGATACAAGACAGCTCCTGACACTTGCTATTTTGTAATACGAAACAAGATTAAAGAAACTAACCTACAGGTATCGGGGAATTCGTCATAGCACATTTGTGAAATCACAAAACAGCACAGAGTAACACTATATATTACAAATTGATTGTACATTGAATTTAGATGAACTAATTTAAAAACAAATTATTCATTGCTAATGAACAGAATGCACTTTTTTGTCTCCGACGTCACCATTGTTGTCTTACTGTACCTAACGTTCAATGATTAACGTATTTTCACCTGAAATAGAAATAAACATAAGAGGTTAAAGGGAATGTACTATTATTATGCGCGAGATGTTCCCACAATGATGACAAAGATAATGGACTACTTCATAAAAGCAATGTACGTTCCTACGCAGGTGAAGGCGGTGCGATGCGTGATGCTCAGGGCGAGGGCACGCGTAGCTCGCACGCTGAAACACAACGCGTGTCGGGGAAGGGCGAACTTTCGGCGAAGGGCGGGAGTGGAGTGGTGGCCCTGGCGAAGGAAGAGTTTTGTGCACTCGCAGTTCCGTCACTCACTACCGCCCCGACTCACATCTGTTTGCACTTCACCATTTTGGGCTCAACCTTGGTAAATCCGATGCTTTGCAGCAGGCCCGTCTTTCACGGCTCGGAATATATGTGGAGAACTTTTAAGGTCTCTCTGTGTCTTGGTATGATTCTAATTGAAAGAAACTC